TACATACTACCTACTGTATACAGGTCAGTGAACAACATGTGTCGCAATCCAAAAATCGAACAATTCTGAATTGCATCTGTTTGTTCGTAGGTGGCAGCTTGTACTGTTGGTGTAGGTCCAAAGAGCGCATGCGTTCATGTATCAACTGACGATAAGCAGTTACCACGTGAGTAACATCCATCAATCAGCATACTCCCAGGAAACCATCAACTTTGATGTTCTATCGATTAAAGTCGATACCCATTTGAACTTTATTTAGATATTTATCTTTTCTCTTCATTTAGCTCCCGAGAACAAACCCGAGAAGGTTTATCAGATGGCGAATAGTACGACTAAAAACTGCTCCATARAATGGACTAAAGCAAACAACACTGACCCTGATCCTGATAGTCATATTATTGGCTATGTCATCTTTTACAGATTCTTTGGAACTAACGATACATGGAAGGAAGAGAAGGCCGAGGGTGCAGATACAACGCGTTATGTCTTGGAAAATTTGGAGGAGTATTCAAAGTATGAGATACGAGTTGCCGGGTATAATATTTATGGTACTGGAAATAAAAGCGTCATGTTGCTTTGCGAAACAAAGGAAGATGGTAAGTTAAACAGTTGTTTACTGACATCTGTCAATCATTCGTAACGACACCGTCTACTCCATCAAAAATGTATTAGTTGTGGTACAACTGACTCTAGTAGAAGAACAAAAAGTGAATGTGTTCTTTGGTGGCTGGATATAGGTAACACTTCATAATTCTTGTTTGGTTCTTTTAGCCCCTACAGCTCCTCCTCCAGACATAGTAGGGATCAATTCCAGTTCGACATCGATCTCGGTTAGTTGGAATGATATCCCAAAGACCGACCTAAATGGAAAACTTCGCAAAATCTGTGTCCTCATTTGGGTCAAGAACAATAGAGCGGACACTGAACAGACAATTTGCATCGATTATAAAGAAGACAACAGCAAGTCTGTACGTAAGAGAAGAGCGATTTCCATTGACCCTGAAACAAAAGTCATTACTGGTCTGGATAAATATACAACTTATGCAATCCAAGTTTATGGTGTAACTGTTGCTGACGGCCCGAAAAGTGATGTCATTTATGTCACTACAGCAGAAGATGGTAATGAAATAAACTAGAATATATAATCGATATTTTACTTCAAACTACGAATAGTATCATCATCATCAAGGGCGTGAAGAAATAAAGATGATGATGATGATGATAATGATGATAGTGGTATTCAGCATACGTTCCTCTATGTTACTTGTAAACAATAGAACGATAGTTATAAACCAACAATACGAATACATCAGGTGCATGATGGTCGTGTGTTTATTTCATGAACTTTCTATCATCGACTTGTTCTTTACACATTCTGCATTAATAGAATCTATTTTGACGTATTTCTGGTTAACTAATTTACGTGACATTTTTTCTTGTGTTTAGCTCCAACTGCACCAGTAAGGAATCTTACTGTTACCAATTCCAGCTCGTCCAGTTTGTTTATGACTTGGTCTAANATAGCACCAGAGAACATCCATGGAATTCTTCGATATTTTGTGGTGTATTACTGGAGAGCCGACTGGCCTATTATCGAAAGAAAGAACATAACATTACCAATTGATGATGTTCGTCACAATTCAACAGGGTAATTTATTGACAATTTTTACAGAGTGGAGTTTTCTCTATTCCACCTGTTTATATGTCTCTTACTCTATGGATTCCTGTCAAACAGTCAATTATTTTGTCTTGTAATTTTCCACGGAGAGTTTTTGGAATTGATTAACAGACAGAGTCGTATTGATCAATGTATTTATAGGTGTATAGACATTGATTGATCGATAAATTGAATTGATTTATCGATAGACTGATTGATTGACGGATGGAATGATTGATCGATAAATTGATGGATAAATTAATGGAAAGACTGATCGATGAGTCAGTTTCCCAAATCAACAGTTCTATTCGATTCTTTGCAGAGTTCGGTCCGGTTCGGTCAGTGGACGAAGAAAACGAAGATCTGTAACTGTACCTCCAACAGCTGAGTTTAAGTTCAATATGACTGGGCTCGAGATATGGACCAACTATTCTGTACAGGTTGCAGGATTTACTGTTGCTACGGGAGTTCCCAGCAGTGAAATAACTGTATCGACGGATGAAGACAGTAAGTTTATCTTATTACTAACGTCAGCGTTTACACCTAATTAGTAAAAGGTTAAATCATCGAAGCTATGACCGAAAAGGAGCACGGGAAGAATATAGGTGAACAGGAAGCTCATGATGGTTTTCTTAACTTTTAACAGGGCCTTGCCTTCCTCCAGACGATATCCGGTTTTCTGTGCCTTGGCCTAAGGCTCTTAAAGTTCACTGGAAAGAAGTTATAAGAAACTGTACAAATGGAATTATTCGAGGGTATCGMCTGATTTACCAAGAAATGATTCCAAGCGCCTCTCCAATAACAGTAAACTTGACAACCGACAAGGAAGATTATATTATAGATAACATGAATATGGACGCGAATTATACAATACAATTGCTTGCATATACCACTAAAGGGGATGGTAATGTTAGCTTTGACTTAGCACCACCAGATAGAAATGGTAAGTACACAAAACCAGACACCAAAAACACSAATATTATTATTTGACATCAAAATGTTTGTCCCAATAGGCCCCAAACACTCGCCGATTAACGTGACAGCAGAAAACTTTACCACACCGACGTCAATTCCAGTTTCCTGGAAACCAATCGAAGAGCCGGGCCTCCAAGAGAAACTGCTGGGTTACCAAGTGTCATGGAGGGTTCTTACTGAAGGACTGGAAGAAATAGAAGAGGCACCTTGGGTCAAAGAAACAGTGAGAAAAGACGCTCTTTCTTACACCATCAAAACGCTGAAAAACTTTGTCCACTACCAGATAGAAGTTGCTGGATTTACACGGGGTGGAAATGGGCCGTCCGGGATCACGTTTGCTGGTAAATGAAAATACCATCGCGCATAAATTTGTAGTCGAGTCAGTCTGCGTTTATTCTGTATATATTGTCTTTTAAAAAATAATGATAATGTTTATTTCTACAGTGGAAACTCGTTAATCCAGCGATTAGAGGAGTGGCCGTATTAACCGAGTTATCGGTGTGGCCGTATTAAGCGAGTGGCCGTTAGACGGAATTCCATTGTAGGAACAATGAACATAGTGCTTGTTCAATATTCATATTAATTCTTTTTCCTCACATCTTAGATACTTGTCGCTGCTTCAGACGAATTGCGACGAACTACCGTGTCTTTGCGCCCTACAACGCCGTACAAATCTCTAAAAACCTTAAAAAAGTCAACATGTCTGGAATGATCCCAGGAATTTTGAACAACTTAACGATATCATGCTGTCAATCATGTAAATCACACGGCTCTTCGTACGTAGACTTCGTTAACAATGGTCACAACAAGTCGGCGTACCAGTACAACGAACTAGACGTTATAGAATTGATTGATGATACTAACGATCTTAGTTTTCCAATTTATGGCTGGAAGTGGCAGGACACTTACCAAGAGCTTTACAGGTATATGCCGCTGGTCGAATCCCCGGGTTTCGCTCTTCTTCTACTGGAGCCCAAAACAGAAAGTCCTTTACAGGCCATTGTGAAATCAATCCTTGACACATGGCCTTATTTGCTTATCGTGTGTTTGATGGCTCTTGTAGCAGGCATCATTATGTGGTTCTTGGTAAGTGAATGAATTATATTGCAATATGGCAAACTATTTCTAGTGACTTCATGTATTTATGCTTATGTTTTATTCATCAGTGTCATATCATGCATATAGTACATCTGAAAACTAAATATTTAATTCAATGGTTTTATTTTCTAATTATGTTAACAGGATACCAGTTATAACGAAGAACATTTTCCTCACTCGTACCTGAAAGGAATCGCTAATGGGTGGTGGTGGGCTTTCATCTCCATGACAACACTTGGGTTAGTATTGGGGAAATTAGTTACAACGTGTTTAAGTAAGACTGCGTCATGTATATTTAAATAATTTTAATAAAATAGTTGTGCAATAAGTTAATATATTAATATATATTATTGCTAGTCTAGTCAATAACCTGTTTTATCTCACACAAACTCTTTCCTTTCCTTTAATGCCGATGACTGTAATGATGATAATGATTAATTTAAGTGTTGGACGATGATTGTGATTACAATACTTTGTTTCCATAGTTACGGTGATAAAGTTCCTATGTCTGATCGTAGCAAGGTTTTCGCAGTTGTCTGGGTTTTGATGGGTTTGGTTATTTACGGCATATTAAGCGGTTCGATTTGTACAGCGTTTACAACTGTTATTTATAAATCAAGCACCCAGTTGTATGGTTCACAGGTAAGCTTATTGCAATAGAAGGTGACATATTAAGCTGTTATGTAAAAACAATCGATGATCATGTCATTTTATATATTAAAGTAGCTGTTGTATATTGGTATTTATACTGTCGTTCCTGTTTTTGCTAATGCAGTTGATAATGACAAAGTAGTCGCGCAATTTTTTAATGTTCTTTTATTTCCAAGGTCGCTGCTATTTACGATACACCTGAGTACAGATTTGGAGTTCGAAGAAGTGCCAAAGTTAACACAAGTAAGAACATGTACCGCCTTTTTGTGTGTCTAAAATTTATAATATATAATGACAGCGCACAAAAATCACCAATATTGTGCTTACGAGTGTGTTTGTGTGCTTACGAGTGTGTGCGTGTTTTTGATAATACCATACAGTTGTGGTGAGACTATAGATAAGACTATATTGAAGTCTGTTTTTTAGAGAAAATATCAATCAACTATATTAAAATGAAAATATCGCAAGTACATTCCTCAAGTAAAAGTCATTTCTATATTTACAATAGATGCGAATTACACGCGATTTGATGAAATTCTTCAAGCCTTGTTAGATGGTGAGGTGCAAGGAATTCTGATGGACGCGTACGAAGCGGGGACTAAGGCCAAGGTGTTTGAAGAGAAAGCAAAAGGAAGAATACGCGTTCAAAAGGTCTTTGACTATTCGTCTACGTTTGGTGTAGTCCTTGCAGGACCATCCACGAGACTGTACCAATGCTCACGGGAATGGATGTCTGCAAATCGTGCAGAAATGACCTCACATATTGAAAAGTATATGGGTGTGGTCGAGGTAAATACGATAATAGAGTCATCATGACTCATCGGTTTGTGGATATGTTTATAAACAAATTTGATAAATATTAATATTGTTGAATGTAGTTGTTGTTTTCTTTGAATTACAGGAGGATACGATTAATGAATTGGTGGAGATTGCAACTGGTCTATTTGATGCTAATTCCCCGACCTTTAAAGACTTCCTCAAATACAGTCTTATTGCTGGTGGTGTTTTGGTGGCATTAGGGCTTATTTGGGAGTTTTATTACAACGTCAACAAGAAAAAGAAAAACAAACTTGAAGGTAAATCACTAATTAATTTGCTAAGTGCGCAGTTCTAAAATATTCCCTAATATTCCTAACGTTTATTAATCACGCTGTCTTCAATTACCAGCGACCTCCGAAGCTTTCCTTCGAAAAGAAAGGATTACCAAGGAACTGGGTAGTTTTACAAGACAATTTCTTGAGCAACTCATGGACAAGATCTCTGAACTTAAAGAGAAACACGAAGAGGAACAACTAGCATTTCGCCGAAATAATAAACACCTTTTAAAGAAGAAACCAAAAGGAAAACTTCTTCAGCTCGAGCTGCTATTCAGAAGCGACCATACGGTGAAAATGTAAAATCGTCCTTGTATTTATAGTTCAGACGTCTTTACAGAAAACACTGGCGTAATGAAGCCACAAGACCCTGAATATTATGATAAAAAAAAACAAAACCCCATCGCCACCATGTTGGATGGATGAAGAAGAAAAGATGGTGATTGGTGCTTTTTCATCCAACATGGCCGCGACTATTATGACATCACGTTTGTCTCAAGGATTGTTTCAGTAGTAATCCAGTCAGGGTTTTTCTATTGTAGAGAAGCCATAACGAGAAGCACAAATCACGACAACGCCCAGACTGGACACACTCCAGTGTAACATGTAAGCGGGACAACGCAATTGGAGTCAAATTAATCAAACCAAATATCAAATTCCTGGCTTTAACCAACAAAAACCTACATCAAGATATAGTCAGTACTAGTCTCGTACCCAGGCTATTCTCCTCATAGTATGACCTCACTTGGCATGCTGTCAGATTAAAGCTTGGGGACGAGACTATCGTCCGAAATACCCGATATTTTTAGTCAAAACGTTTGGTAAAATATACTCATCCAGTATTCAGTCATTATTTTAACAAACATGTACAGTGAATCGCGATCTTTTTGAGTGCACCTATCACTTTATAAAAGCCATATTCATTACATGGCAGAGGAACAATTATTATACTGAAGGCGATGTGTTTATGAAGGTGAACAACACAGACAACCCAATAATAGATAGTCCTGAACAAGAATATCAAGCACATAGAAGCTCACATTTCTACCGGACCCACTGGCAGAAGTACGTTAAGGGCTTCTTTTTATAAAAATGATGTCACAGACATAGTCAAACTGAAAAATAATTGAAAAATGATTGTATATACTCATCCAAAAAACCATAGTTAATAGAGAGTCCTCGCTATTAACTATGAAAAAACTCACAACGAAAACCACCGCAAATATTATGTATGCATTTAACAATAAAATACACTTGAATAAGAAGAGAAATGTACTGATTTATTCTGACTGCAAGACGTTTCCAAGGTATTAAATGTGAATCACGGAAATGAAGATTAAACTTTCCACGTTGTCAATAACGACAAACTTCAACCCTCGCTGTGTGAGCCGTTACATTATAATCCTCGTTTGATCGAACGTATTTTCATGTTGTTTATGTATCCTAGACAACTGATTTTCATTTGTTAACCACAAACCCTTCTATTTAGAACTCCTTGTCAGTGTATATATAGCTGTCTAAGTTAAGGTAGTAGATTGGATGAGAATTGGTATTCATACGCAGTCAACCGATATTTTAAAAGGTGTCTCCATATAGTTGTTTTTCAACCATACCTCTCATTTTAAATTAATAAATCGTGCCATGCACCGATTTGTTTTGTGTTTGGGCCAGTCAAAGTTTTGTTTGGCATAATATTTAGCTCCATCAACGTTACCTAAGCGACGGAATTTGCATTTTGCCGAAATTCGTTTTTCCCAAATATCTCAAAAAATTGATGAGATGCAGAAAAGCGGTAGACATCACTCATTAACTTCAAACTATTGCACATCGTTTTGGAATAGTTGCAAACAAATTCATCTGTTCGGTTTCGAGTAATATGCAAAAATCACATTCATGAAATATTTGTCAATATATATGATTAAATGGTTGCTCCCACGTAAACTGGGACTATACTCCTATTGCATCCTTGATATTTTCTTTACCTTCTATTTCTAATCTCTGATGTTTTCATAATTCATGGTTTTGCCTTGCAGTTCAGTAAAAAAGATTAAATTTCAAAACACCTTGAAAAAATAGGTGAAACAAAAAAAAAAATAAATTTTACAAAACAACTTACTGACGATTTGGATATTAATCTTTCGTTAATCCTTCGTCGGAGTAAAAAGGGTTTTGTTGCACGAGTACCATGAAACGTGGAACTGATGTTTTATCCCATTCATGAAAAAAATTGCATTTGATTCAAATCGAAGTTTACTTAAATATATTCTTTTGGACACAGAGTTTGAAGTTTATTTGTTTTTACTTTCAAATAAAGAGAACATTTTGAAGTACACTTCCTGTATTTTTTTTGCGAGACTCAAGTCTAGTTAAACTGTGGATTTTTCATTAATTTTGCGGCCATGGAAAAAGAAAACTAAGCATAAAACAGTTTTGGGAAAAAGTAGTGTCCGAAGTAACCTATACGGAGCAAAAATATTCTGAGAATTAAGTTATACAGTTAGAGATTGAAGTGATTGATGAATGTCATATTTGCATCTTTGATTCTGTACAAAATGAATGTATGCTGATGTATTCCCTAGTGACCCCATAGTGACCTTTGTGATAAGACAATTCACCACGAACATGCAGTTCAAGACGAAGCATCATTACAATATATGTTATAATGGAGATCTTTTTAAACTTTCATTGGACTACAAGCTGGTATTTTTATCTACTCTGATATTTTCAATTAATTCAAGTCTCTGTGAAACTTCTAGTTTATATTTTTCAACGTCAGACGTTCCGAGTCTTAGGGCAAAGGCAAGACTTTCTCATAGTGACATTTTCGATCGTATAGGAGAAGCCGTGCGATACATGAAAAGATATCCTAACATTGTAGTTCCGCCATCGACTTGGATAGAATTTTCGAGCAAATGGAACGAGAATTTTGGCAATAACTTGGCTTGTCTTTCATTTTATTGCTTGCTAAACAGAAGAGATGTCGAGGCGTTCAAGATTGCAAGAAGAGCCATAGTCAGGTAAAAATACAAATGTCGGAATTATCAATAACGGTGATGATGATGAAAATCACATTTTTTTCAAGGTTTACTGAACTGAAAAACTGGCGCTGCTCACAAAACTTACAAGATGACGTGCCAGTAGCTCACAGCCTTGTTGGCATGGCAACTGCATATGATTTTATAGGTCATCGTTTTGACAAAAGACTACAAAACATGGCAAAGTTGAAAATAATTAACGTCACTCGACAACTTTACGAGAATTCAATCAATGCCTGGTGGGGTAACTCTTATATTCAAAATCATGTGGCAACCAATTATGTAGCGTTGTTGATAGGGGGACTGGTAATGCGTGATTTCACAGAAGAGGCGGAGGCATGGGTACAAAGAGCGCATTTAATGTTAAATAGGACTATGTTTCTACTTGGGTTTGTCAAAGATGGTTCACTTGAAGAAGGTAGGAAACATATTGCTAGGATACAATTGATAATCAAAAGTGTCTATCGTCCGAAAAAACTTATTCAAATGACGGGAATTCTCATGTTTAACGAGAGGGATAGTTCAATGTTAGGTCCATGAACGTCCGGGTTTTCAACGACTGCGTTGCAGACCGCAGGTAGCGCAGGCTACGAGATACTTCTTCAACTGCATATATGGTTATAATCATTTGTTTACATGGTGTTGAAATTGCCGCCGGACTAGTTGATCATTTTTTCGCTAGCTGTGGTAAAAAGATTCCTTCATGATTATAATATTCTAAAAAGTCGTTTATTTTATGATTGTTAACATCTTTCATCAAAATATTGGACTCCAACAGTTGAATTGTTTGGTTTGTTTAAGGTACATCATATGCGAGTTATACCACAAGATCTCTCACTCAATATGTCTTCCTTGTTAAACGGCACTTAAATATCAACCTAGCCAACAATCCATGGCTTAACAAACACTTTTGGTTCATATATCGAACACTCCTTCCAACATTTGACAAGACTCTCGGCATTGCTGACTCTAGCGGCGGCTGGTTTTATGGTCCAGAGAGTCAGTTAATGTTTCTAGACAGTATGGTTATGAGAAATGGCTGGGGAAATTGGCTTGCGAAAAATATTGCACGAGTACGTAAAGATAGAAAGAGCTTGCTTCTCGCTCGCACGCATCGCTATGCATCTCTACACACAGAGTTTCTATTCTATGATCACGTGATTGGCAGTAGACCCCCTGCTGACATGCCGATGCTTCATGTATTTGAAGACTGGGGCGTGGTCGTCTATGGGAAAGCCATGCCATCAAATACAGAGATTTACTCCACAGGAAAACCGCAAGCTTCTTCCAAGCAAACCAATTCAAATCCTTTAACTTATTTAACCTTCAAATGTGGCGTCCTTCACGGAAGAGCTATTAATAGAATAGTAAAAACCAAACCCTGGTCATGGATTGATGGATGGCCGAGGTTTAATCCAGGCCACGAACACCCAGATCATGGTTCATTTACCTATTACCCTAACGGTGTTGCTTTGATCACAGACGCGTTATATGGACCTAAGTACACATGGCTCAACAATGTCCTCATGTTTGGCTCAACAGAAAACACCTTCGGTCAGTTAGGGGAAGGTAAGGTTTAGTTGGCTAGCTTTTGAATGCTGTAAGATGACCATATGAATCAAGTCCTCGTACAATTTTCTTCACCGGTCACTTGTAAAGACTTGATTATGAGGACTGCATGGCACTATGATAGAACTTATATAGAAATTAAAGAAAGTTATAGTGCTTAGAAGGAGGCAATTCCGGGAGAAAGACCCTTAGGAAYAAATTSGRRAAAATTAATKTCCGACCTCGCTGGGATTCGAACCCACGACCTTCGGATTTGTAAAGACTGCTGAACTACAGACATGCTGTCGGACACAAAAAATCGTTAGATGTGACGTTACCATTTCTTGTTTTAGGTGGCAAGTGGTTCAAATTTCAAGACAACAAGGTTTGGGAAGCAGAGGGAACTATTATTACTGCTATCGACCAACATCAAAAGCTGTACATTGTTGGCGAGTATTCTAAATGGTATTCTAGTAATCTAGGGCTACACAAAGTTTTCAGGAGTCTATTGCTGCTCAGACAAGACATACTCATCGTCTTTGACGTAGTCATCAGAAAAAAGAGTAGTCCAACAACAAAAGTGTCAACGTTTTTTCATAACAGGTACACGAATAAGGTTTTCTAATACAAAATTGTTGCTGCTGCTGTTGTTCTTGTTGCTACTGCTGGCTTTTTTCCCTGTTGTTGTTGCTGTTGTTGCAATTGTCGGAGAATATAAAAATTGGGCTTCCTTCTGCCTGTACTATTTAAGTTCAGTTCAGTGCTAGAAGGGTTTTGGTAGAGCTAGCCATCGCGATTTTCCTAGTTGTTTAAAAAAAATCCAGCGCATTTAATTCCCTTGACATCACCTATGCATAAGAAGTAAATCAGTATGCTGTTTATTATTACACAGATTCTTTCCATTTCAAATCGTTGTTCAAGACAGTAGCCAAGCTATGGCAGAATTAACTGCAGAAGACAACAACACGTACTGTATTCAGTGGATTAACTCTGATGGACCACCTATTAACGCCAGTAGTCAACAAGCCCGATATAAAGCCGAGTTTGGAAAACGCAAAACCAACTTTTTGAATATCACATCCCCTCTTAAAAACAGGGTTTCCATAATGGCGTACGTCATGTCTAATGGTGACGCGAAAATAGTATCTCTACAAAACGACAATCGTAACGGGATTCTTACTGTTGATATCAATAACGTTCGACATGCGATTAATTTATCGATAATACCAGATATCTTGCCAAAATACTCGAACTTGAACGACTATGTCTCTATTAACACATACGAAACTGACTACAATTCTAGATCTCGTTTAATTTCTTTGTCTTCCGAAAGTTTAAAGATTTGCTTTCTGGCTGCATTACTCTTGTACGTTCGAATACTTATTTCGCGAAGGGTTTATTGGTCAAAGTCAAGACGTCTGCTGTTGACGATCGCGATTCCTGCATGTGCGGGAGCCTATCTTTTTCTATCTCTTTTTAAGAATACCGCTATGATATGAGACAGCGGGCGCCTTTTGATCAACCTCTTTTCAATGTTGAAGAAACGGTCGTTTGATATTAATAACTTAAAACTTTAATTATTTGCGAGTAATATCAAATGACGTGCTTAACAAGCTGTCTTTATATTTAGCGTTTAATTGCATGAGTAACTAATGCATGATTTTCATTTAACTGGTGATGAAATTTCAATGAAAATACTTTTTAAGTATAACTGGTTTTTGATCGACTCCCACACACTCGTTCACTTTAACTGGGCTATTTTGGGCTATTGACGTTGGACGCGATGAAGTACAGCAAGCAGTATTGACATGATCTGAGTGTGCTTTTAGTATTCTTTGGAAGTGATAACTTTAATACCTTGTGAAAATAAAGAAATGCCATTTTCAAAGTAATTCGTTTACTAAAAATCTAAGTGAAATGAATGTAGCGATATAACACAATTACCTAAATACTATCATAAATCTTTTACTCAATACCCTGATTATTCTAAAACTAGTTTGCGTGGTATTTACTTTAACACCAGTTTGTAATCTCGTTTAAAAGAGAAATACTGATCGGATTATGGTCGATTAGAATGCTGTGTGAGTCGGGATCGAAGCAATTAATTCCACGTGGACACGACACCAATACCCCTTGCGAGTCTATTTAAATAGATTCAGTAAGTATTCCCAGGCTGCACGTGCAGGTCCAATCTCATGTACTTGCCGGCAAGTGCAGTAAAATTATAAAGATATCACTGAAAGACTTTAAACAAAATAGGTATCATCTAAAGCTTAGCGATAAAAATATTACAATCGAAAGATTACTGCTCGTCATGCAATGCTGTGGATTCAGTGGTTTACTGAACGTTTATTTGAATGAATCGATGAATAGAACGAAACCAATACAAGTTCTACGTAATATTTGTAAAAGGGAAGATGATGTACATAGAGTCTGTTGTACTGACCCGGATGATGCGTACTTCCGAAACACGTACTCTTTCATAGTATGGTACAGAAGTTGCTCGTACAACACACAAGTGACAAAAATTAAATAAATTCTAATTTTTGTTACAGCAGTTTTTTTTCTTGGTTACAAGACATCCAGTATCGATAGCTCACGAGTTGTGAGCCCAAGCTTGATAAGAAAAAACAGTGCAATAATTCTAGAGGTCTTATTTATTGCCGGCCCCTTCACTTGTATCGCAACTACGGCCTGGTGTTCCGCAGTACACAGTATTCCAATATATAAACCCTAAATATGACAACACTAATGCAAGACATGTTGCAGTTTGAAACGGATTTGAAAATCCCACGCTTGCTGACGCAAAAAAACATTATTAACCGCTGCCTATGAAAACTACATAAACTGAAAAAATGGACACTGATGAATCGAATACTGAAAAAATGGAACAGTGTTAATTAGCACAAGAAATTAAGGATTTTTAATTGAATAACCATGAATTGATCACAACCACGCAATTTAAAGACATATATTTATTCATGTTTTAAGGGTTGTTTTGGGATTGCGGGGTTATTTTTACCAAGTAGTTATACTTATATTTTTAGATGATGATAAAAATTTAGATAATGTTCTGACTCCAATTTTATCGCGTACTTTATTCACAGAGATATAAATTGTTCCATTTCCACCAAATGTATGGTTCGATGACATGTATGCAGTCCTCTATAAATTTTCCAGATTTGAAAACTTCATTGCGGTTTTTTATTGTAACTTAATACTGAGTTATTTTTACAGCTTATAAACGAAGAATACTGTTTGGTATTTCATGGGTCTTTTGTGTTAGTTTGAGAAAAAAAAAATCATAATAGGAATGCTAACGTGCGGGGGGTCCACCAAAACTTTTTAAAGGAAAATTTTATTATTTTTTTCTCTGAATAACCGGCTCTGCCGGTTATCATTTTCGGTCGCGCGTCAAGTGTTGGGATCATTTTTAGATTTGAAGACTGACAATATGCCAAATTTTCTCTCCTTTTCATTTGACAGCACGCGTCGGTTTTCTTGTCTATTTGACTCCAAATTTTCTTTTTTTTTGTGAATTAATTTTTTCAATTTCGAACAATTCAGAATGAATATTGCGAAAAATGTGTTTAATAAGAAAGAGAGTCGGATAACACAATGCGGAAGCTCTTATGCACCACTTGGAGTATCATAATCATCCCACAAGTGATCAACCTATCGTTCCGGCCAAGAATTGTCGCTTTGTAAGAAATATAAAAGCGGAAAGGAGGGCGTCTACTCTGCTATAATATCCGTCAATCAGGATATATAATTCACCTTTAAATGTCCATACTTTCATTTGAAGCAGACATTTAAGCCTGCTCTATTACATGAGTTAAGATTTTAGTGGAATATCCCACAATGGATTGCAAAACTTTAACAAGAGTTCTGGTAAGATATGAAGGCTTGTGCTCTTTTTGTACTATACTATCTTGGGGTTTATTGATTGAAGAAGTCTCTTTGTTATAGTCCCATTGCGAAGAAAACTATTTAAGATTGATTAATTAATTTACAAAGACTCGGCAAACAAGGGATACATTTAGTTTAGTGGGCAGTGCCGAGTAGAAAAAGGTAGAAGTATTTTGTTAACTAACTTAGAGTTACGAAGGTGTGTAACACCTGACAAACACTTTGTGTGCGCCAACGCTATCAAGACTGCTTTAGGATACTAGTTTTCTTGGATAACTGTTGCATAGTCAAGTTATGATAATGTATCGGCTTCTTTTACTTTTATTTGAATGGAGAGATAAAGTAAATGATCATCAATATTATTATTATAGGGAGTAGCAATTATTTTATAGGTTGAGTGTTTGCGTTCACTAACAAAAAGCATCTTTATCTCACAGACTAAGTGGAGGCAACGCTGTTGTCGTGACAAAAAAAAAAAAAATCAGATTAACAAGGAAAGCTCTTTAAAACCATTTATATATTAAAAAGGAATGAATTTTTTTTTTTATTAGTAGTAACGCTGATTGAATTAAATGAATCGAAAAAAGTCGTGTAAATGAAAACAATGAATGAATGAACCAAGGTAGTACCTTTTGTGAAACATTTCTGAAATTTAAGCATGTAATACTGAGATCGAACAATGTTGTTTAATGGGACAATGAATGACTACTGTAAACACAATATGGCATTAGACCGAATGGAGAAGGCTGAATACAACAAGAAAGACAATTAGTTAAAAAACGGAAACACGTATTGAAATACTTTGATGAGCAAAATATCTAAATCAATACTATTTAAAGTAAGGAACCGATATACTTACATCCAACTCAGTTTGTTTTCTTTTCAAATTACTATTCAGTGTTGAAAAAAGTTAACATCTACACGTGTATAGAGCAGGTCAGTTCACAATCTCAGGAAGTCGCTATGTATTGTGTCAGTTTCTTTTTAAAAAGGGTCGAAGTGAGAGAGTGTCAAAGGACCAGACACCTGTGATAATGAAAAAAGGTTTTATTGGGAACAAAAGCTGGAGTAATGTGTCTGAAAAAATGTCGCATGACCTACCCTCCTCTAGTGTTCTGTTTAAGGGCCATTTTGACCTAAAATCATTTCAACGTGTTCTTCAAAGGAAATGGTATCACTTCTGTAGATCGAAAGGTTTCATAGACTTATCAAAACTGTTGCATGGCAACATCATTAGCGAGCGGCATTTTTCACTTTATAATTTTGGCTCATTTAGGTTCAAATAACTCTAATATGAAATAATTTGGCAATTTTATTCGAAAGAAAGAGAAAGCGTTGTGGTTCCAGGTGGTTATTAAAGCCGTGAAAAAGTGTCTCCGCGTTGGATCGGTTTATTTGCTAGTCAATTAAATATACTAATGTAAAATCAACATTGTTACTTTGTTTTGAAGAGCGCCCACCTATATCCAAACTAAAAATAAAGCAATCACAAGAAGATAGAACCTTATTTGCTTAAGAAGTTTCACGGTTAGTTTCTTATAAAGACTGTTACAATTGGCTCCACGGAGAATCATATTCAGTTTTTACTAATAATAACAATTAATAAAACATGTATAAGGATTGAAAAACTATACCGACTTGATAAAGCAACAATGATTTCACTCATATCAAAATATAACTGAAATCATCCCAGTCGCCGTTTCATGGAAAATTTTCTATTGTGTTATAAAAAGTCTCGTTATATATATATATATAATAAAAAGCAATTCAATCGCCGATGATTCGACGTTTTCGTGTGTTATTTTCGCATTCTAGTTGCCGTGAATCACCTGTAAAAGTCAAGCAAATCAGATCAGATCTACTATTTCCGTCGTTCTAAAAAAACACACAGCTAAAATGGCAAAAGAACAGTACTTTCCATAGATACTTGAACGATGACACGACATTAGCATGTGCATTAAGGCCAAACTTGGTCGTATAATGTTTTATAATGAGTTCTGTTTTAATGGCAGTACGAGCAGAAACGACAGTGTTGGCCGCATATAGTTGACTAACACTGATGACATTGTAACCCGCCACACGTTCATGATAGCTATTGATGTCATCTACTATCTTTAAGTTCCTTGTCCAACTTTTCTTGACCGTTATGTTAACTAGAGAAAGCTGACATTTTATTCAATAAGCTAGGAAAACAAAAAGTATGTCGTTTTCACCATTGAATGTCTTTTTTACTTTACAAGGTTTTTTGCGTGTTTTCTACGACAGCTTTTCACCTGTCCAACTGCATGCCATATAAGGACGTATTAAGTTCTAGCAATCACGCTAAAGAGTTAGGATTTCTATCTGGAGTGGTCGAAGATTATCGTCAAGTTGACTTCAATAAATGGCGAGACACTGGACTATCATCTGAAAACACTTTAAGCGATTACGAAGATCAAGACACTTCATACATCGATGATTGGACAAAGAAGGGATTTAGAAATATCGAGAAATCCACCTCGATAAAGAGAAAGGGGAATCAGGTGAGATATGAAGCGATCTCAACGTACATCATGGCGTTGTTCATTTTCGGAAAGTAGAAAAAACGAAAAAAATGTAAAAAAGCCAGTAAATGAAAAACCCGTTCATAATTGACTTAAGTTTTTCTTAAAGGCTGCTCGAATGTTCATGACTTCATCAAAAGAATGTTTAATCATCAACAGCAAAGGGACAGTCACTGCGTCGAATAAAGAATCTACTTGCAACACTTATGGTGCGTTTTCACTTGATGGATCTTAGTTAAGAAACGACGCTTATTGTCGCTTTATGTTTTAATTAAGTATTTTTGTAAGACGCTTTAGATTTTCACTTTGGACATTCAATTGTTACTTTAGTAGTAGATAGTTTGATCTTACTTAGCTGATTGACTTCAAAAACAACCACTTTGTTACAAGTGTTCTGCTTTCTTTTGATCGTGAAATTTGAATTGCTTTCAAAAGAAGAACGAAAGAAAAATAAATGATATGTACACAGAAAGAGAAATAGGAAAAGAAGAAAGGGAAAAAGATGAGAAAAGTAAAACAAGATTTTCTTTCCCTAGGTAAATTTTGCCATAAAGTCAGGGGGAGTTCTCTTCAACTATTGAACATAAAAACAGGAAAATACCTAGCGATCAACAAACAAGGTTCCATCTATTCAACAGATGTAAGTAACACATTGCTTCTTCAACTGACAACCTTTCTGGAAAGGTTTGAAATCATTACTAAAATTGAGACGGTACATACATCGTCTTTATCACAATTATTTTGGTACTTTTCTAGTACCATTATGATTTTCATCGACATTGTTACTTCAGGATATTTAAATGTTGTGTGCAATTAGCATTATATATCATAATCATAATCATAATGTATTCAAACAATATAGAGGTGTAAGTCTAATAAGTGTCTTTACATCTAGGATGGGACTTCTAAAGACACCATTATGACGGACGAGATCGCCAACCATAATACCTACTCTATCTACATCTACAAAGTCATAAACAACAAGAAATGTTATCTTGATGTCAACTCAAATTCTGTGCAACAAAGTTGTTCTTTGAATCCTATACAACTAAAGCCAGAATTGAAAGGAAATTGTACTTAACTAGTTAACTACTGAAATAATTAAATAAATTAAAACCTCTTGGAAATGAACGCGGGTGTGTCAATTGTGTGCACTGGAAGACTGCACTGAATCACATCTCCTTATATCATGGAGCTAAATGAACTGGATTCAACAATCTAGCTGAGATAAATTCAGATTACAGACCTTAGGATCACAATGTTTCAAAGTATATCAAGTGTCAAGTTTATAAGATCTAGTCCGCAGTATCTAACGTAACCTTTTCTGGTGTATTGTAATATGTAATGAAGGCAGCAGCGATCAATTGAAAGCGTTTGTAACTGGGTGTTTTCAAATAAATTGTCAAACACTTCCCATTTAGTTAATCGTTATACGGCAAATATTCCAGAGACATCGACAAGTATGTACTTCTCTGTACATAAGAATCCATAAAATGGCGGTGTCAGTACTATGAATGTCGCATAAAACAAGGCTGTCGTCATAAAGAGTTGTTTGGACTACACCAGTCCGAGTATGTTCGTAGTTAGTGTATTCTCGACAAGAAAAAACACTAAAAATGCACTCCGTGTGAATAATTTGTTCAAGAGAACACCCCCAAGGCTTAGTGGTACGGAATGACTTTAATTAACAATGCCTTATATAGCAATACAATACAACAACATAACTTAGTATATAACAAGTCTACCTCACTAGACGAGAAGGCTACCTCATTTACATGGTCACCATGATGTCAAAGGTCCAGTGTACAACAATGTTTAAAACCCTTTGCCTTGTATCCAAGCCTTGGTGGAGTTGGCATCACGTGACAACCACGCAATGTTTAGTCGAATATTTTCCAAGGACTGCTGCAATGTGCGTTCTGCTTCCGGTACGGGGCGCTTGGCAAAGAATTGCTGTCACAAAGTTTGTGAATTATCAGATATAGAATAAAAAATAGTGTCCAAGTTAATCATTTTCACCTCGTTTTCTCGCTTCCATTCCTATGTTCCATGAATGCTTTCCACAATTATCTCTTTTCATTTCTTCCTTCTTCCCTTAATTGAGTCCAAGTCCCACTTAATATAGTCCCTGTCCCATTTCAAACTTACCTCGATTTCTTGAAGTTTTTCTTCACTTGCAAAACTCTCAGTAGTAAACTTAAGAATAGAAAAAACCCCATAGATTTCTACATAGCTATTCCTAATAACATCGAGGTAATGATCACATTTACCTTAATTATTCTTGATAACAGGAAACCTCCTTCATAGCAATCATGTAAATAAGACCAGTTCTCTTTCACAAACGTCCAGGCAAGTTCTCGACCCGTTACACTGGAACACAGAAAATTACCCTATGTAAGCCTTAAGGCAAAACATGTAAACTTATTGATACAAAACACGGTGTAAAGCAAACAACATACCTTCCAGTAACACCAGCGATGACAAACACCGTATCTTGTGACCGTACATTATCCTATGCATTCATAATTACCAAATTATCATCAAAGAATTAATAGAGATTAAGGTATTGACATTGTGAATGGTATCAGCTGTGTATACATGTTACTTACAGATATGGCAAACTTCAACACCCTGTTGATCAGCTCAGGCTGTGTAACCTTGCCCATACAGCGCATGAGCCGTTCACGTTCCTCATGCAAGTCAGCCTCTTTGAACAATTTCTCCACAGCATCCAGCGTAGTCTCGTCGCCATGTTCTAAAACAATGCTGTACAYTGCAGACCGCAGATCAGCATTGATTGTAGCTTCCTTTTTGCAGTGAGCATCAAATCGTCGTCTTGCTTCCTGGATGGTTGGTTCATGTCCATATTTACCAAGGCGATTGATAACAAGACCACGAAGAAGGGCGTCCAGATGGCCTGCAAAAAGACCACCATTGAAAACTTAGATATCTAGTTTTCCAACAAGCAAATTACTATGTAGTATTCATTGCAAAATCAACTATTATTTCACCTTCATCTTTCTGTGGTTCCCAGCCCAAATTCTCTGCGATAGGTTTGTAAAGGGACAAGCAAAAGTCCCCGAAACGTTTATAAAAATCAGTGTACTGTAAGACAAGAGCTAAACTGGCCAAGTTGGATGACATGTCATTCCATACAGTATAGTTCACTTCACTGGAATAGGCTTCGACAACTTTAAGGAAATCTGTAGTAGGAACTAGACCTGCACGGGCCTGAAATTACAATATAGCAAAAGCTTATTGTGAGAATGTCCAATTCCTGTTTATATCTGACTGTGCAATNCTGGTTCTGTTGTACTTGTGTTAGTGATCACACTTACTGGGACATGCCATAGTTGATCAGTGCCTTAAAGAGTACAAACCATTTAGTCTTAATGATTGATTTAATTGAGCTAAGTCCATAATAAAGGAATACCTTCAGAAGAGCCATCAGCACAGAACTTCTTCTGTACAATCATTAACGCTTTGTCATTTCCTTTCTGAATAAATTGCAAAAACAGCAAGTTAGTTGTAACTGCTTTTTACAAGTCAAATCACATTTTGTATGACCTGTTTTGCTTTGACAGCAAGTACAGGGAAGCCCATTTGTTTTGTCCAGGATGTCATGACATCAGCTACAGGTTTACCACCTGCCTTCCCAAGATACTCCCATAAATCCTCTAAAAACAATTAGAAACCACATATATATCTAATATTCTGACCAAGTATTTGGTTGTTGCATAGCAAATTATTACTGTCATCTGAGCAAATCAGTTCCGACAAAATATAAACAAAAGCAATTCTAAACACCTGCATTACAATTAATTTTCTTAAAAATACAGCATACATGTCATTCCTTACCAGTATATGCATTTTTGTATTCAAAATTGCTAAGATATTGATTCAAACCAGCTCTAAAATCCTAAATGAAAAAAGACGGACGTGAAATGTAAATTGAAATTAAGTGAAATATAAAGAAAGATTTGAAATGGCAATGAGTTTGGTTCTTATAAAATCTTATTGTTGATATATTGCACACTACAAAGGCAAAAAACAGTTGCATAAAAGGTATAGAGATGTAAAATCAAGTAAACCAAAGGGCTTAATAATTATAAAGGACAGAACCAAATGTGATTGAAGGTAAACCGAGGACTCCAAACATACTTTATCACCAATATAATGATGTAACATTCGAATGACTGAAGCCCCCTTGCTGTATGATATGGCATCAAATATTTCCTCAATCTCTGCAGGATGACATACTGGCACCTTTAAGGTACAGATAATGGAAAATTAAGAACAAAAGTAATTGCATACTGCACTAAAATCACTGGAAATAAGGTACAAAGGGAAAGGAAAGAATGAGTGGAAAACTACTACTTACCTCAATTGGATGGCTGTTGGAAKGAAAAGTAAAGACTATGTTAGTGAGTTAATATTGCTATTATGTTTTCATGTATTGGATGATTAGATGCAAGGAGTGTGAGATCAGCAAATTAAGCGAATTTACCCTTATCCAGGAGGCAAGTTGAATGTATGCAACCCTGCACACATTTAAGAGACTGCAGACCAGTATAGCAATGGTGCATTCTGATCTAGTAATCCATCGGCCAGCCATTGGACAGGTATACAAGCTAAAGCTATTAGCAAGTGCATAATATGTCTGACAAGCCACTGAACTGATGCATTCGGACATTCAAGCAAGCAAGCAAAATGCAGACAACCCATTGATTGAATCTACCTAAATTGCATTGAGCATCATTACATCATTTGTTGACCTGTTATTCAAAGCGTCCAAGTCCATTCCTCTAGAGTGGTCAGTGGTGACAAACTGTGTCCATATGTCATACTTAGGGAAACAATGGTCTACACAAAGGTACTCAATCCATGTAGCAAAACCTTCATTCAACCACAAGTGTGTCCACCATTCCATAGTGACCAGGTTACCAAACCACTGATGAGCTATTTCATGTCCTGGAATTATATAAAAAAAACAACATTGTCATTCACAATATCTTTAAAATGCAGTGAGATTATAATGTCTACTTTTCACTAAATAAAGTATGTCTATCTAGTGAACTGATGTAAAGAGGAATGTTATGCTGCTCACCAACTATAAGTGCAACCCTTTGTTTTGTTGCTGATGAAGAGTTTTCAGGATCAATCAACAAAGCTGTTTCCCTATTACATTAAAATACAGTCAATTAGCATGAGTATAGTATGCCTATACACTGGATAACAGCAGTTTACATACACATATGTAATAAGTCCCCAGTTTTCCATAGCACCTGTAGAGAAAAATAAAACTGAAAGGATCAAAATCTCAACTTCTCAATCTCTTGAGTGAATTGTAATAAAATGGCTCTTGAATACCTCCAATATAGTCAGCAATAGCAATCATATCCATCTTTGGAAGTGGATAACTGATTCCAAAATACTCCTTATAAAATGGTAAGGTTTTTACTGCCACCTAATAACAAACAACAATAATACAGAAAATTGACAATACAGTCATCTAACTGATATATGTACTGTAACCATGGCAACAAACTAAATATGCCACATCATTTCAGTACAACGAATTCAATAAATAAACAAATCACAGCCATAGTAGTCACACAGTAAGTGAGAGAAATTTAACTGAAAGATAACTAAAAATACATAAACTTTTCACTAATTTATTACTTACATCCAAGGCAAACTTTCCTTGTATAGATTTGCCTTTAGGTGTGTACACTCGTACCAATACACCGTCCTGGTCTTGATCCTCTACATAGTCATACTCTCCAACTACAAATGCTAGTAGATATGTGGACATTATGGGAGTTTGTGCATACCTGACTATCTTGAGGGAAGGATCATCGGCTGGGTTTTCTTCAATGACATTCTATATAAACGTATTACTCATTATAAGTAAAATGGAATTAATTTTAAATAAATATTATAAATATTGTACCAATTAGGACAGACAAGTAATACAAACTAATCATAAGTACTGAATATATACAAAATCTTTTAAATAATTGTCCTCTTTCTTTACACAGATGTTCACACAACCCATTTGATATTACAATACCATGTTTGACAAAGCAACCAAATCCTTGGGTACAACTAATGTAACATCAAATGTTGCTTTGATGGCAGGCTCATCCCAACATGGGAAAGCCCGACGGGCATCTGTAGCCTGAAAGAATATAATTCGAATTATTACAAAGATATAATTCTTTTCTGCAACAATAAAGTATTGAACAAGTTATGCATCACATGATAATATTCTTGATTATGTCCTGGATTATCAACGTCCCTTTCTATCAATATTTAGACTATAAATATACCTCAAACTGTGTGACTGCACAGTACTTTTCCTGGCCATTGTCAATGTATTTACTGCGATAGAATCCTTTCATCTTATCATTGAGTTCTCCAGTAAAATCAAGATGAATACTGCCATTGCCAACAGGAAGATCAGAAGGAAACACTAATGTTGCTGTTTCATCATCTTTACTGTAGTTGATATCACTGTAGTTGAAATCTGCAAAAACAGAATCAAAATCTTTCTTTTAGGGACAAAAATCTACTCTGGATGTTATAAAACTGGTCCAATAATAGACAAACAGTTAACTTAATACGTACAATGCAGGTATTGTTTGTCAAGTGAATGGTTCATGAGTTGAAAAAGATACACAGCTGGTCAGTACCTACCCACATCCCCAGAAGTGAATTTAGCAGTATTGATTGCAATGTCCACACAGTTTAAAATGACTTCCCTGGTTGTCTTGGTAACCTGTGAAGGTATGCAATACTTTCACATTGAAACTAGAACACATCTTATCTTTGACCCTATATGTTATATGGATTATAATCAAATTAATAAATTGATTATAAATTGATGATTGATGATAGTAATTATAATGATGATATTAAAGGATAATGGTCAAAAGAGTTCAAATTTCCATAATAAACAGAAAAGCCACAGATGGCCATTGACATCCACGACGGACTTCCAGTTTGCTAGAATTTGGAAATGATTAATATTAATCTAGTCTACCTCAATGGAAACGACTTCATTGCCTTTAAAAACAAACTCTTTCAAATCTGGTTGAAGAGAAAGGTTGTAGTTTCTTGGAACCACGCTCGTTGGTAGTCTTTCAAAGGGCTTTCGTTCGGAACTCATCACTACTGTGTATTGATAACTAGTTTGCAGAGCAAATTTCTGAATTGAAGGATTTGAAGAACACCGAGAAAATTACAAGTCTCTGCAGCAAATTACAGCCGACCAAAATGAAATTTGGACCCAAAGATCTCATGACTGAATCATGAGAGCGAGCTCTGAAGATTATCTAGCGTTATTATAAGGGGCCAAAGGCTGGTACAAAGGCCGTTTGCGCCGTGCTTTTCTTAGTGAATTACGACTTTGAATACTTTGATACCTAATACCTTGTGAAAATAAACAAATAGTTTTACCTTGAACTACCATTTGGCTCTTATCATCTTGCAATCGAACACGATTAAACTTCATTTTCTTGAAAAGCCCGCTCTGAGCAGCAGGAGAATCTCCTTGGTCGCCCCATATCCCGGGGGGAGGGGGTGGGGGTTACTCCCATATATTTGCTATACGGGGACGTGCCGCTGGCCAGGCTATGGTTTTTGGCCTTGCTGTCTTAAACGGGGTATACATTTCACCCGAAATTGTCTTAAACAGGCTCTACAATTTAGATAAAAGACCGATATAATTTTTTTGTGTGCCTTGGACAGGGTAATATTTTCATAAAAAACACCGTAAAAATAGTAGAAATACCATTTCATTGTCCCAGGATTAACGTGTTATCAAAAAACTTCTTATTGTATTTGATGGATGTCAGTATAATTGCAGTTTTGATGGTTGCGACGTAGATAGCTATTCCTTATTTTTCCGATTTGCCTTGAACAGGTTATGGATTTTTACTTTTAAGTATCTTAAACAGGGTCAGGGATTTAGACCGCTGGCGGCACGTACCTATCCAAAACGTGGTCGAGTACCTCCCCCCCCCGCCCCATATGGACCCAACGTCAAAGGCGCAAGACTCCCGCGTTTACAAATAATGTTGGGTGTAGCTTCCCTTTTCCTCCCCTCCATTTTTAAAAGAGAATATGACATAAACATCTCTGCTCATTAAATATCAATTTTATTGGCGTGTCAGTAATAAGGTGTTGTTTGCATTATGGATACCCCATAAAAAATGGTTATCAGTATAATGCACTAGTTATCAGATAATGCATGCTATCTCCTTGCATTACATCATCAGCAATAAAATCACCTATGACATAATTGCTGTCTAGAGCGATGTTTAAAACCCTTTACTTTGTAGCCAGGCCTTGGTAGAGTCGGCATCACGTGACAACCACGCAATGTTCAGTCGAACATTTTCCAAAGACTGCTGTACCGTACGTTCTGCTGCCGCCACGGAGTGTTTGGCAAAGAATTGCTACAATTAGAATAAGTAATTATCAGAAATAGGAAAATTGAAATAATGACAATAGGAGTTTATCATTCCCATTTTTAATCACTTTCATTCTTTCTCCATTTTAACATACCTCAATTTCTTTAGCCTTTTCTTCACTTGCAAAATTCTCAGTAGTACACTTAAGAATAGAAAAAAAACCCAGATAAATTGCTATATACCTATTCCTAACAATATCGATGTAATGATGACATTCACCTTGACTAGTCTTGATAACAGGAAACCTCCTTCATAGCTATCATGTAAATAAGACCAGTTCTCTTTCACAAACGTCCAGGCAAGTTCTCGACCCGTTACACTGAAGCACAATAGTACAGCTATGTAARCTCTGATGCAACTTTACTAAATTGCAAACAATAATATGTCAATAAKAGAATATAAAAAGAATTATCTGTCTGAAATTTGTGACGCATGATGRTGGTAGCGCAGTGTGTATGGCCTCTCCTTATTGATCTACTCTAATCAGCCAATCAGCACGCAAGAATTCACACAAGTGTGTTGAAATGTATTGGTACAAAGTGTAAAGCAAACAACATACCTTCCAGTAACACCAGCGATGACAAACACTGTATCTTGTGACCGTACATTATCCTATACATTCATAACCAAATTATCACCAAAGAAT